CATGAAACAAAAACAACACAAAGATGGCATATGCCAAAGGGCGCAGGAGCCAACTGGAAGAGTTCCCAGTGGCCAAAACTGGAACAATTTAAACAATAAAAATAAAGTAGGGAATTAAATTTGCCATCAGGATTAGAAAAATTTATACTGGGGCACCGGGGTGGCTCAGATGGTTAAGCGTCTGCCTTCGACTCAGGTCATGATCCCAGGGTCCTGGGATCAAGCCCCAAGTCAGGCTCCCTGCTCAGCAGTCTGCTTCTCCTTCTCCCTCTGACCCTCCCCTAGCTCATGCTCATGCTCTGCCTCTCTCAAATAAATAAATAAAAAATCTTTAGAAAAAAGTTTATACTGTACCATAGAATGTCAGAGACTAGAGATTGTCACATGTAGAAATATTATCCATTAGTGCAAAAGCCTAACAGTACCCAAGCAGGCAAATAAACCTTGTGTCAACCCTAAAGGAGTATAATCCAAAGTGTAAAGTAAATATGCATGAGTCCATACTGATGTTAATCAATGGTCATGTAAATAAATAAAAAGAGGAGAACAGACAACTCCCCTGTGCAGAACTCTACATAACTTATGTAGATACTTTGCTCTCAGTGGGGTAGACCATGACTTCCTGCTCTGTAGGTGTGGGCTTCACCTAGTGACTTCCTTCCAACATTGAGAGTATGGAAAGGGGGAAAAAAGAGTCACTTTGCAGTGGGGAAATTTGACAAAACACCACCTCATCCTGGGGATCCAGGCCAACATCAATAGTGAAATGTTGATAGTATGTACCTTTGAGTGGCTGTGATGAGAATGGCAATTTCTGTACTCTTTCTCCTAAAAACCCTAGTCTAAGCATGAGAAAAACATCAGAAAAATCCTAATTGTGGGGCATTCTTCAAAATACCTGGCTAGTACCTCAAACCTGTCAGAGTCATAAAAAATAAGGAAAGTCTTAGAAACAAGAAAAGCCAAGAGCCTAAAGAGATGTGATGACTAAATGTTAGGTGCTATTCTCCATGGGATCCTGGGACAGAAAAAGAACATTAGGGAAAAACTAAGGAAATCTGAATGAAGTTAGGACTGTAGTTAGTTAAGTATGTTGCCATGTAATGTAAGATGTTAATAATAGGGGAAACCAGGTTTGGGGTACATGGGAACTCTGTGCTTTCTGCTCACTTTTTCTGTAAATCTAAAACTTTTTAAAATAAAAAGTTATTTTTAAAAATCATGAGAAATCATACCTAAAAAAAGATAGAAAATTAGTCCAAGGTTTTTTTTGTTTGTTTTTAAAGATTTTATTTATTTGACAGAGAGAGACAGCAAGAGCAGGAACACAAGCAGGGGGAGTGGGAGAGGGAGAAGCAGCTTCCCACGGAGCAGGGAGCCCAACGTGGGGCTTGATCCCAGGACTCTGGGATCATGACCCGAGCTGAAGGCAGACACTTAACAAGTGAGCCACCCAGGCACTCCCAAGTAAAGTTTATTTTAAAAAGGACTGCTACAGGGACGCCTGGGTGGCTCAGTCAGTTAGGCGTCTACCTTCGGCTCAGGTCATGAGCCCAGGGTCCTGGGATCAAGTCCCACGTTGGGCTCCTTGCTGAGCAAGGAGCCTGTTTCTCCCTCTGCCTACCTCTGTCTCTCTCTCTCTAATAGATAAAATCTAAAAAAAAAAAGATTTTTTTTAATAAAAATAAAAAGGACTGCTACATATTAAGCCCCAAAGGCTTCTTTTACATAAATCTATGCACATTTAAAAAAATTATAGTGTGATTATTTGCTCAACCCAAAAATGTCACTTTTTAAAACCCAACAAAAATATTTACAAAACATATAAAATATATGTAAAAAGTAATCATAGTTGTTTGTAGAAAGCAAAATATGGGGAACGATTTACCTGGCCATATATTGGAAGGTGATTGAATGGTATTGTGGTTGGCAGAATTCCAAGATGAAGCTCCAGTGACCCTACCCTTGAGTGTGGATGAAACTTCTATTCCCATGATTAGGTTGTCAGAGGGCACAGCTGACCTTGAGAAAGAGAGGTTATCCTGAGTGGCCCTGACCTAATCAGGTGACTCCTCAAAAGGACTCAGCTCTTCCTAAAAGAAGCGGGAAGCTTGAGGTATATTTGTTACTGGCTTTGAAGATGGAGGGGATCACATGGTAAGGAATGAAAGAAAGCTCCAGTCGCTGAGTAGCCCCAGTTGACAGCCAGCAAGGAAACGAACTTCAGTCCTGAAACTGCAAGGAAGTGAATTGTGCCAACAATGTCAAAGAGGTTGGAAGAGGACCCCAAGTCTCAGATGAGAGAGCAGCCCTGGGAGACCCTGAGCGCAGGACCAGCCATGCTGTGCCAGACTCCTGACCCACAGGAACTGTGAGATACCAACTTCGTATCATTTAACCTGCTAATTTTGTGGCGATTTGTTACACAGCAATAGTAACCAAGGTATATCCAGAGTGTACGATGCAGCCAATCAGACCAGTGGGGCACATCTGCATATATCTACCCAGAGGGAGCCCATGATTACCGCCGATTGCATAAGGGAAGTTGCAAAAATTATATGTAGCATGATCCTGTTTTACAAAATTAAAGAAGTTTGTGCATGGCAGAAAGTCTGGAATGATAACACCAAAGTGCTAGCTGAGGGGTAGGATTTAACAGAAGGAACTTTCAGTTGTTAACATATACATTTCTGTGGTGCTACAGAGTTTGTTTTGGTGGAGGGTGGTTCTAATTTTATTTACAAGGAGCATGCATTTTGTTTCTAATTAAAAAGACAAACCAAATCAAACCTTTAACAACCCTCTACTAACCCTCAGAATTGAGTCCAAACTCCTTACTGAGGCCCCTCTTGATCCAGCTCCACTGGCCTCCAGGCCTCTGCCACCTCTCCCCCAGCCTCCTTGCAGTCCCACCTGCACGTGAAGCTCCAGCTCCAGGGACTCCCTGTGCTCTGCCTTCTGGACTTCGAATTTACTCTTCTTTCTTTATGCCATTCTTTTCCCCTTTTCTTTGAGAGGCTCACTTGCCCTTTGTGGCTTGTGCTTTCTGACAATCTCTCTTCCCTGTTCTTTTGGCACCATATCCTCACTCTTTCTTTTTTGACCCTCTTTGCCAATTCCATTTTTTCTCCCTGGTCTTTAGGTTAGTCCTTGGTCTCCTATTCTTCCTGTCTGGGCAAGCACCTTCCCATCCTCTGTTCCAGTTCCATCACTCTGCCTCGATTGTCACACATTCACTTCCACCCCAGACAGCCCTCTAAGCACATTTGGAGAGCCTTCAAAACGAGCCCCCAGACTTCCCCAGGACACACAGACCCTCACTAGATGACGCCACTGTCCTTCCCACTGCAGGACAGAGATCTGGCTTATACCCTCTCTACGACCCAAACACTTTGTTTTGTTTTTGTTTTTGTTTTTTTAAGATTTTATTTATTTATTTATCTGACACAGAGCAGGGGGAGCAGCAGCGAGTGGCAGGGAGAGGGAGAAGCAGGCTCCCGCTGAGCAGAGAGCCCGACATGGGGCTCGATCGTGCCCTGAGCCAAAGGCAGAAGCTTAACCGACTCAGCCACCCAGGTGCCCCCCAAATACTTTATTGCACTGCTCCTCCCTTCTCATCTGATTCCCCAACAAGTTCCCCGCACCCCTTCCAGAAGCCTCTTAAAAACAACTCTGATGGGACGCCTGGCTGGCTCAGTTGGTAGAGCATGCAACTCTTGATCTCAGGGTTGAAATTTCAAGCCCCACGTTGGGCATAGTGCCTACTTAAAAAAACACAAACTCTGATATTACTACTGAAAATCCTTCAAAGACTTCCTATGGCTCTAGGGATCAACTCCATGTTCTTTAAGTTCAGACTCAGCTTATCCTGACCTGAACTTACATCTCCTCTTGCCTTCTGCCCTCCAGCCTCTCTGGTCTTTCAGTGCCTCCCCCAAAATGGCCTTGCTTCCAGGGCCCCTGCCCTTGCTAGGCTGGCCTAGAGCCTGGCCTCCCAACAGCCTTCCCTGGCTGCTAGTTGGTGCCCAGTTACCACCTCTGTTTCTTGTCACGGAAATCACACTCCTCAAGGGCGCCTGGGTGGCTCAGTTGGTTAAGCCTCTGACTCTTGATCTTAGCTCAGGTCATGATCTCAGTGTTGAGAGATCAAGCCCCGTGTAGGGCTCTGCACTCGGTGCAGAGTCGGCTTGGGAGTCTCTCTCTCCTTCCTCACCTCCTCCTGTTCGCGCATGCGCAGGCCCTCGCACGCGTGCTCTCTCTAATAAATAAATAAAATCTTCCAAAAAATAAAAAATCACACTCCTCAGGGAAGCTTTCCTGATGCCCAGACTAGACCAAACCCCTGATGTGGGCACTTGGAGCCTCCTTTCGTTTCCTCCATAGCCCTTCTTACACTTCACCATGAAGGTTTGCATAACTCATGGATTCGCTAGACTATAAGGCCCCAAGCCTAGGGACTGGGTCTGCTTTCCTCCTCTTGTATTCCCCAGACCTAGCAAGGATAGGCACTCAATAAATAGGAATGTAAAAGTTGAGGGAGAAGAGGTAAGAAGAATAAAAGAGAGAAAGTATGTGGAGTAAAGAATAATTTGGTGTGGCTGGGATGCAGATACCAGACTAAGGAATTCAAGCTTTTTGTCAATCAAGGATGTCAGCTAAGCTTCCTGAGCAGGACAGCAGTTATATGATCAGTTCAATGGAGAATAAATGGGATGACCTACTATATTCTAAAAGCCTTTGAGAACCGTTTGAATTGATGTTGGCTATGGAACAAGGAATTTGGGGGCAGATTATATTTTGCGTGTGCTGTGCCTATTGAGTCTTTGATATTACTACTGTAAGTGACACTGGAAGACTTTCACTCAGTGGTCATAGTGCTTCATGCATTAGCTCATCAGGATGCAAAGGGCTCTGATAATAGGCAGCAGAGCATTTCTGTATCCTATTTAGCAAGGAATCTAAGCAACATTTTTTTGGTTCAAATTTTTTTTTTTTAATAGGTGTTTACTGAAGTGAGAAAGGATTTGCAGCTGTTTGGAGCCTGAGTGGCAGATGAAACCGACTTGGAGACTTCTGGGGTACATATGAGTTACAACCCAGAGGCTGCTGCATGATGCCCAGATAGCACACAGGCCACCTCCACACTCGGAGAGCTGAGGAGATCTCAGGTAAAGGGTCCCTAATCACTGAGTGATGAGGCTTGTGAGAGAACATACACTGACTGGTGGGGAGGCCTTGCTGGAGGTTTCAACTTCAAAAGCCAGGCTGGGATTACTCAGTTGCTCTTCCCCCTACCTCCTGAGGGACCCTAAATTGTATTTAAGCAGACCCATGTCCCTACCTATAACTGAGTATGCCAGAGGAATTCAGCCATGCCTCTCTACGTAAGCTATAAAGAACTAATTAACCACACTTAATAGCCCATAATTTGTTATTTCTGCATTGTAGTCCCAGGGTTCCCTTCCCTCCCTGGTTATTACCCAGGAAGAAACATAAAACTGCACATAAAACTGCATTTCATAGAAACAAAGGAAGTGAGGTGTCTCTCTTTTTTTTTTTTTGCTTTATCTCCCTCTGACTTAAAGCAGTGGGTCTTCCTAGTTGGAAATGAGGCTCATTCCCACAGATGGGAAGGATGCCACTCCCTGTCTCCCATCATTATGATGCAAATGTACAGATAGAACCAGCTACATAATCTGTGGGACCCAGTACAAAATGAAGATGTGGGCCCCTCATTAAATACAGTAGGAATTTCAAGCCTGCAACAGAAAACCATTAAAGCAGGGGCAGGGCCCTTCTGAGCATGGGGAGGCAGAGGCTGCTCACACAGAATGGTTTGAGTGCTAGGATGATGAAGGGGCTTTGCCTGAAGGAGCTCATCCACATGAGCAGCTCCTCCCTGGCAAAACCTCAGTAGAGAAGAAAGTGTCAGATCAGGTGAAAGCACATGGCAGTCATAGGGCCACTTCTGTGAGAGTGAATGGTGTGGCCAAGGACAGCATTCTTTTGGCAGTCCTCGGTCATGATCTCCTTGGAGTTTGGATATCAGAGGGACCAAGGATCAGAAAAGAATCAGGGTGCCTTAGGACATCAGAAGGAAGGGGTGATGAATGGGTATAGAGAACACTGGGATTGAGGAGGCATGAAGGGGGGCGTTTCTAGGGAGCATGGAACTCTCCCTGTTTTGTTTTCATTTAATCAACCAATTTTTTTTTTAACTGAAGTAGAGTGTATCAAATTTAGATGAATGATTTTTTTCCTTCTAAGCTTGCTTCTCCCTTTTCTCCATCTTGGTAAAGGATCCACCTGGGTGGGTCACTATTCACCTAGTTGATCAAAACAGAAACCGGGAGTCATCTTTGATTGATTCCTCCTTCTTTATTGCAATACCACTTACTAAGTCCGATCAATTCTATTTGCAGTTGTCCCTCTTGAGCCCACACATCCACTTCTCTCCATATCTACTGATGCTATCATCTTTTCTGACCATGACTATCACAACAGCCTTTTAATTAGATTGGCTTTTAAATCATGCTGACTGGAGTTTAAGTCCTCATTCTGCCACATGTTTTTTTTTTTTGTTTTTGTTTTTTTTTAAGATTTTTATTTATTTATTTGAGAGAGAGAGAATGAGAGATAGAGAGCACGGGAGGGAAGAGGGTCAGAGGGAGAAGCGGACTCCCTGCTGAGCAGGGAGCCCGATGTGGGACTCGATCCCGGGACTCCAGGATCATGACCTGAGCCGAAGGCAGTTGCTTAACCAACTGAGCCACCCAGGCGCCCTCTGCCACATGTTAACTGGGTGACCTTGAATAGGGCTTTTCAGCTTTTTGAGCCTCAGTTTCCTCATCTGAAAAATGGGGACAATATACCTATCTTAAAGGGTTGTTGTCAGTACAAAATGAAATGATGCAAGTGGCTTAGCATACAGTATGTACTTGATGAATCAGCATCTTCCTTCTCTTTCCCTCCTCATCCTTCAGGCCTTAGTTTTTTGGTTTTGGTTTTGTTGTTTTGTTTTGTTTTTTAAAGATTTTATTTATTTGACAGAGAGAGAGATCACAAGTAGGTAGACAGGCAGGCAGAGGGAGAGGGAGAAGCAGGCTCCCCGCTGAGCAAGGAGCCTGATGTGGGACTCAATCCTAGGACCCTGGGATCATGACCTGAGCCGAAGGCAGATGCTTAACTGACTGAGCCACCCAGGCGCCCCTTTTCAGGCCTTAGTTTAAATATTACTTCCTTAGGTCCCCCTCTCCTGACTTGCCACAGACTCGGTGCAGGTTCCCAGCAGTGCAGACTGCTCTGCAACATTCGTCACACTTACCTGTCTTCTCTCAACTGTCCTTTCCATCAGGACAAGGATTCTGTTTTTTTCTGCCTAATGAGGTGCCTGACATGGAGTAGAAACTCCTCTATTTTGTTATTTGACTGGTGTCCTCATACATAATCAAAGGTTCCCAGGCTTGGGGTCCCCGTAATGTTTTTGACTAACTGTTAAGTAAGAGGGTAGATGATGTAAACAAACAAGAGACCAAGTGTATCCCACCAGATTTAAGTTAAACCTAGGGCACTGGGGGTGATTCATCATAGCAGATCCCTTCCATAAGAAATAAACCTAGGGAGTGGTTCGAGATAGTGGAGTAGGAAGATCCTGAGCTTACCGGCTCCCAAGGCTGCTCCTATCTACCTAGCAACTCTACTGAGAATGATCTGAAGAATAGCAGAACATCTAGATATATAGAACAGCTAAAGATACAGAGAAAAAGCCACATGGAGAGGGGTAGGAGGGGCAAAGATATGTCCTGGTGGGGACCCATACCCCGGGTACAGTGACTCACCAGTGGGAAGGATATCGCAGGCACAGAGATCTTCCCTCAGAAGTGAGGGGTTCAAACCCTGCTCGCTGTGGAGATCTGCACTGGGAAGAGGGGTCCTCATAACATCTGGCTTTAAAAAATCAGTGGTGCCTCACTTCAGGAGCTTTGAAAATCAGCAGGGCTTAACTCGAGGAGGGCTGTAGAAACCTGAGACTCCACTCCTAAAGATTTTATTTATTTATTTGACACAGAGAGACACAGCGAGAGAGGGAACACAAGCAGGGGCAGTGGGGGAGGGAGAAGCAGGCTTCCTGCTAAACAGGGAGCCAGATGCAGGGCTCGATCCCAGGACCCTGGGATCATGACCTGAGCCAAAGGTAGTCACTTAACGACTGAGCCACCCAGGTGCCCCAAAACTCCACTTTTAAAGGGCCCATGTACAGACTCACTTGCTCTGAGACTCAGCACAGAGGCAGCAGTTTGAAAAGTGCCTGTGTCATATGGGGAGGAGATTTGCTAATTAATTTTTTTTTAATTGTTTATTTTAGAGGCACCTGGGTGGCTCTGGTGCTGCACCCACTCTCCAGCAGGAGCTGCTTTGGAGGGGTGCTGGTCTGGCTGAGGCTACCCACTGGGTGGGGTGGGGTTGTAGCCACTTTGGGGGGGGGCTGGGAGCGCCAGTCCTGGTCAGGACTGCCTGCCAGGTATGGCAGGGCAGGAGCCATTAAGGCAGTGGGGCACTGGTCCTGGCTGAGGCTGCCTGCTTGGTATGGCAGGGCAGGAGCTGCTTTGGAGGGGTACCTACCAGGCAGGTCTGCATGGGAATGCCAGGGCAAGGTGAGCAGTGCTAGCAAGGTAGATGAAGAGTGTCAGACAGGCACCCACTAGCATCAGACCAGCTAGACGGAGGGAAAGAAAAGTGGTGCCTGCCACTGTTTCTGTTCTCAGAGAAAGTCCCTACAGATCCTTGCCCCTCTAGCACACACCCTAAAATTACTTAGTCTGGGATGCCCCCAACAATCACAGCTGGGCCTTGCAGCCAGTCACACTGGGGGCTACTCCCAAATATCAGCCCACCTGCAGCAGCCACAGCTGGGCTTTGCAGCCAGCCAGGCCAGGGGCCAGCCCTGCCCACTAGCATGCTTGCAATAGTTGCAGCCCAGCCACTATAGGAGGGCACACACAGCCCACAAAGGGCAACTCTGGAATGTGTGGTTCTAGTAACCAGGGGGATTGCACTTCTGGGCCCCACAGAACGGCTTCTACAGGTACTCCTTTAAGACCAGGAGATGTAGCTGATTTACCTAATACATAGAAACAAACACAGAGAGTGGGGCGCCTGGGTGACTTAGTCAGTTGAGTGTCCAACTCTTGATTTTGGCTCAGGTCATGATCTAGGGGTTGTGGGATCAAGCCCAGCATTGGGCCGCACGCTCAGCATGGAGTCTGCTTTGTCTCTCTCCCTGCCCCTTGCTTGTGCCCACTCTCTCTCTCTCTCTCAAATAAATAAATAAAATCTAAAAAAAAAAAAAAAAAAAAAGAAGAAAGAAAAGAAACACAGAGAGCCAGGCAAAAAACAGAGGGATATGTTCCAAATGAAAGAACAAGACAAAACCTCAGAAAAAGAACTAAATGAGAGAGAGATAAGCAATCTACCTGATAGAGTTCAAAGCAATGGTGATAAAGATGCTCATTGAACTTGGGAGAAGAATGAATGAACACAGAACTTCAACAAAGAGGTAGAAAATATTTTTTTTTAAAAATTGGAGCTGAAGAATACAACAACTGAAGTGAAAAATCTACTAGAGGGGAATCCACAGCAGATTAGATAGTGCAGAAGAGTGGATCAGCAATCTGGAAGATGGTAGTAGATGTCATCCAAGCTGAACAGCCAGAAGGAAAAAGAATATTTATTTATTTTAAGATATTATTTAGAGAGAGGGAGAGAGAGAGAGTTGGGGGGGGGGCACAGAGGGAGAGAAAGAATCTCCAGCAGACTCTGCACGGAGCACGGAGCCCAATGTGGGGCTTGATCTCAGGACCCTGAGATCATGACCTGAGCCAAAATCAAAAGTCAGATGCTCAACTGACTGAGCCATCCAGGTGTCCCGGGAAAAAGAAATTTTAAAAATGAGGATAATTTAAGGGAATTCAACAACATCAAATATAACAACATTCACAGAAGAGAAAAAAAGGAAAGGGGCAGAAAACTTCCCTAACCTGAGGAAGGAAACACACATCCAGGTCCAGGAAGCAGAGTGCCCCAAAGACGATGAACCCAAAGAGGTTCACACCAAGACAAATAATGATTAAAATGTCCAAAATTAAAGATACAGAGGGAATCTTAACGGCAGCAAGAGGAAAGCAACCAGGTACATACAAAGGATTTCCCAAAAGACTAGCTAGCTGATTTTTCAGCAGAAATTCTGCTGGCCAGAAGAAAGTGGCAAGATGTATTCAAAGTTCTCAATGGAGGGGCGCCTGGGTGGCTCAGTCGGTTGGGCGACTGCCTTTGGCTCAGGTCGTCATGATCCCAGAATCCCGGGATCGAGCCCTGCATCGGGCTCCCTGCTCAGCAGAAAGCCTGCTTCTCCCT